AAAATCGTTTGCAATGGGCTCGCCGATACCAACATTTCACGGAAGAAAATTGGTCGAATGTTTTGTGGTCTGATGAAACAAACTTCGAGGTAAGCTTAGTTAAGATCGTCTTAAAGTTTTAACAGCCATAGCTTCTTACCCTAGAGCAATTTTGAAGACATAATACAAATCTTATGAAAACATTATTTTTTCTTTGCTACAGATATTTGGAACACCTGGTGTGACGTTCGTGAGGCGACCGATTGGGGAAGAATATCATTGCGTGGTACCCACTGTTAAGCGTGGAGGATGCAGCATTGTGATCTGGGGCTGCATCGCTACTGATGGTGTCGGCGAAATGTTTGTTTGCGAGGGTCGCATGGACTGTCAAATGTACATAAATGTATTATTCTTCTGCCTTCGTTAACGCGCATTTTCCGGCGATACTAATTTAGATCGGGTTAAATTTCAGCCAGACAATGATCCTTGTCACAAATCAGCGACTACGATGCGTAGACTTAGAGGTAACAACATTGTTTTGTTAGATTGGCCTGCACAGTCTCCAGATCATAATCTCATTGAGCACATTTGGGCTATTTCAAAACGCAAAATTAAGAAACACAGTATAACATCAAAAACTGCCTTAAAGAATGCCTTAATTAACGAGTGGTACGCTATAAGTGCGGACGAATGTGCAAAAGCTTGTACATGCCTAGTAGAATTGCTGTCTTTATTAAATCGAAGGGTGGACCTACTTTATATTAATGTGATTATTACAATTCATTCTATTTTCACTCTTTTACTAATAAAACTTCATTACTTCACTTATTAAAAAAAAAGAATCAGTAATTAGTGGGGTGTCTAATACTTTTGGCTAAGGCTGTATATAATATTTGTTATCAACGTAGATGTGTGTAAATCTTGTATGTTATTAATTGGTGTTCAATTCAAAACAAAGGTCAGCAGAAAAAATGAGCTTTATTGATTTTCAAATATAAATGGTACAATTCTCATAAGAGTTTTAAAAGAATGCTCCTTTACATTTTTGAAATACCTGTCGGGTTTAAGAAAATTGCATACACAATGTAAATCATTTGAATAAATCATATTCATTCATTTATCTTTAAGATTTTCAATTAAAAAAATAACACTATGGATACATCTGATTTTCATGAATTTTTGTATACACATGCACAGATACCATGAAGGTATAAAAATGTTTGAAGCGAAATTTTAATTTAATATTTATATTGCGCGGAATTTTTTTGTTTAAAGATTGTCAGCATTATTCTCTCATTTTCGTTAGCTATAATCACTTCAATTAGAATACTTTTGGACGTTTTTTCATTTTATAGCCATGGAGCGGTTCAATATCGGGCAATGCATTCTTATTATGAAAACACATTACAAAAACGGGGAGTGACACGCAGAGACTGCCCGTAAACTTCGAGCGATCTTTAGACCTGACAATGCCCCGACCGCAACAGAAATTCGAAGAATCTGGGTAACTTGAACAAGTAAATCGCCCGGTCGAAGCCGGAATGTTCAAACATTGTGGTAGTGCGAGACAGTGTGAAATTCAGCCATATGATCGGATGACTTTTTGCAGAGAGAGTGAGGTGGACATTCGCGTATGCTCGATATCATTTTTCATTATTAAATTGAAGTATATGTTGAATGAAATTAAATACAAATTTTGAATTTTGCATGGATTTCGGCTGATTTATTGCATTTTTTAAAACTGCGTGTTTCATCTCTTTAAAACTTAACATTATACAGTATTTTTAACATATTACTTCACGGCCCATAAATGTACGAGCAGTATTCAAAGCAACACATTCTTTTAATTTATAGGCATCGAAGTGTATATTATCAACTCGTTCACCAAACATCTCATTTAAATTGCTTAGATAGCACTTCAAGGAAGTTACATTGTCTGTCTAATGAATAGTAAATTGAAATAGGTGATTGTGAACGTAAAGTATGTGTGACTTATATTTACAGAGTCAAATATAAACATACGTGTACATCCTCCGTGTTATTTTAAAATTTCAATTAAATTTGAGTGCCAACAAAACAAGTGTAATGTTTGCGAAAGTTTCATGTGAAAATCAACACTGGATTATGTACAAAAAGTACCGCTTTCTTTATATTTAAAATCACTTTTCCTTCTCCAATGGAAATAATAATAAGTGCAGTTAAATTTAGCATTGTTTTACTTTTTCAATCTAGGACTAATGAACATTCGCCAATTGTTTAATAATGCGAATTCAAGTGCTAGTAAGTAAGTAAGGAAAGAACATTCACTACTCCATTTCAAGAAGAGTGTAGCAAATATTAAGTAACGATTATAACATTTCGTACCAAAACTCTTTAGCTAAACCACAGCTTACTGACATTAATGATGTTTACTGCCCGTCAGTTGAGAAATTTCTGGGATTTAAACTTGTTAAACAGGATAGTCTACTATCTTTGTTTCTCCGAAAATGAACTTGGTGGACATTTATATCAAGATAACTGAATTTTTCAACAAAAATAAAAATTTATGCATTATACATGAGAAAAATCCAAGATTTAGTTACACATGTAGTTATTTCCAATGGAGAAAGCATTATTGCACTTATAATATGCACAAAAATTACAGTTATGTGCATTATATGCATAAAGTTATTTAATTGTACTATACAGCAGTCAGAAAAAGTATTCGTTATCAACTATATATTAAACTGGCACTTTGTGACCGCTGAAGTAATTTTCCGTGGTTTTGCGACTGATGTTTAACAAATGGAGGGACCTACAGTTTTTTTTTATGAGGAACTTTGTTTCATGTCAGAAATACACTCGAAGTAGTTGACATTCCCTGCCGAGGAGCGACCGCAATAAGCTTAATTTTTTATTTAAATTGATGTTCTATAATATTTGGATGTTGGTCGCAAGGAGATTGGAAGCCACCGTGGTGTATTAATAATTTGGGAATGTAGGGCGTCATCTGGTGTGGAAAATATTGAAGTAATAAATGGAATAATGAATCACAAATACTACATCGATATATTGAAGCGAAAACTGAGCATCGGTAATGATTTTCAGTTCCATCATGATAACGATCAGAAGCATTCTGCGCATAACGCTAAGATTTGGTTGCTATATAACTGTCCGAAAGATTTAAACCTAATAGAACATCTCTGGGGTCTTTTGTTGTTCAAACTAAGAAAAGGCAGTTTTTCAAACAAGCAGCAGATGCAAACGACTTTATTGAAAAAATGGAGCGAACAAAATATTAAACTTTCGTTACTTTTTCCAAAACTGAAGGATTTTGCATGAATTACGAATACTTTTTTTGCTTTTTTGTTTCGATGTTTCGCATAGGAATTGCGTTTTTTTACTTTATCTACAATTTTTTGCTTTTAAAATAATAAAAACATAAAAACAAATACCATAGCTGAAGACTCCATTATTTGATTCAAATTTTTTTATTTCGATCAGTTGCTATTATAACATTTTCTAAGGATTTAGTTGATGTCGAATACTTTTTATGACTGTTGCATATAGTAAGTAGAAAAAGTATGATATCAAAGCAACCAGCGCTTTTTTAAATGCTCTCGAATATAACTTTTTTGAATAAGTTCGGGAAGTATGTTTATCAAAGTAGCACAATTGATAATTTTTTTATTGGCGACTGATTGTGTGGTAAGAAATTTTAGTGGCATTCAATAAAAGTGCTCAGTGACAAAAAGTGGAAAGAGTAAGTTACCAAGTGCAAGTGTATTGAAATTTGCAACAAAATTACAAAAATTGATAAAAAGTGCAAGAATTTTTTATTTTCTTAATTTTTAAATTGAATTGGCAAATAAAGCCTCACTTTCAAATTTATCTTTTCTTTAATATTCTTGCGATTTTTTTACAGTAAATCGATATAAATTTACTGAAAATGGCAAAGTTTAAGCAACTTATAATTGAAGAACGTTCAGCCATAATCAGTTTGCATAAGGATTGTCACAAAAGTAAAAAAATTTAATAAAAGCCAGGACACGATATGGAAAATTATCGTCGGCTACAACAAACAGAATCAAGTCATCAGAATGAAGAGGCAAGGACGTCCAAAATTACAACGGGGAGAGTTTATAAAAAAATTTGGGATATTTCATATTCTGATACCTTTAAATTTGTTTCAAAAACAGCTTAGAAAAGAAGCCCTTCAAGTGCACACTGTCCGTAAAAGAATGCGCCAAGCCAATGAAGCAAATAGGGAAAAAATACAAACAGCACATGTTAAAAGCTCAAAATGTTTGGCATAAAGTGCTCTGAGCTGATGAGTCGATGATTAGATTTCGTTTTTTCCATGGCACGGTTTACGTTTGGCGCTCACGCAGAACTGTCATACGTGCATCTGACTACAGTTATGTCGGTGTAAAAGGGTTTAATGGATTGGGGATGCTTATCTGCGAACGGTACTGACAATATTGGGGTTCTGGAAGGAAAAGTACTGCAGACCAGATTTCTTCTTCAAAAGAAAAATGCGCCATTCATACTGCAAAAGCCATCACCGAATATTTAAAAAAATTAAAATGTGAATGGGTTGAAATATACCCTCAAAGCCTTGAAGATGCGTATAGCTAACATGAGACCCCAAAACCTGGCTGATTTGAAGGACTGCATCTGTACCACTTGTACAAAATTTCTTAAAAATGAGTGTTTGTAACTTGTCAACTTTATGCAACAACGATTGGGTAAACTAGCAAGAAAAAATTATGAACACTGTGTATATTAAACAATTTGATATCTCATTTTTCTACACGAAATTTACTGTTTGCGATTATGTTTCTCTTTATATATAATCAACGAATTGATTTTTTGTTTGTTTTGAAAATGGTTTAATTTGATACTTTGAAATATAGTCTAATAAAATTATTTTGTTTGAAAAAATATGAAATTTAAAATTTTATTCACCTCGCTTCTTTGTAATTTATTTTGATAACTTACTTTTCTACCCACTGTGTACCAATAATGGCAATATTTATTATTAATTTGTATGCAAATAATATATAATAATTAGTGATTTTGAAGAAACATAGATGACATTAAAGCAAAGAACACAATTCTTCAAATTATTTCAATAAAGTCAGAAACTAAATTATATCCAACAAGATGTTATTCTATCTTTACACTGACCTTTGTTTAAATATGTTTGGGAATGTTATCGTATCTATTAGCGCTTGAAGTACGAAATCAACATAATAAAATAAATTTATTTTCTTTCGTATATTAGTAAAAAATTTCATAAATGTTAGTTCTTCAAACAGTTGGCATACCAAAAAAAGGAAGTATTATTAAAGTTACCTAGTATGAAATCACAACATTTGCATATTTCGCATCGCAATAATTTTAAGTTGTTACTTGAGTACTTAATTTAAAATAATCTGATCTTAAATTCACGTTATCCAAGACAACTGATTACTCAATCGCTTTATCCATGAAATCTAGAAACCGTTTAGCATATTGGTCTGGATCACATGTAGAAATACCGTCGACATTACCTCCATACTTTACCGTTTTAGCTGCTTTTGCGGCCTAAAAAACAAAGATAGATATAAATTAATTAGTCTAGAAAATAGAGATCTGTATATTGTAGACTCTGAAAGTAGAAAATAGTAACATAGTCATTCGGCATTATCTCACTTTTAGTTTTAGTTACTTCTGATACAGAACTTATTGTTACAGGCGAGATAGACGAATAATTGATTGCACCTGCGTGGTAGGAGTACTAAAATCGAAAAGTGTTCGTGACAGTCAGGTCGGAACGACCCGGATTTATATCCGGACTGTCACTCCGCAACATTCCCCAAAAAGGAATAAACGAATAGCTGGCTGATTACAACCACAGTCTTCGCCCTCGGACCCAGATATAAACGAAACGAATTAACTCAAACTTTCAATACTAATTATTTGGTATTCTCTGCATATAAAAAACTTGGAAATACATTGCTGTCAGGCAACTTATTTATATCTGATATGCTCAGAAGATGGGCATATACATGGATTACTTTATGAATTAATCTTTGCCTTTTCTTATATTTGGTCAAATCTGCAAGGTTATCTTAAGTGTTTCTTAATCCAAAAAGGCTGTCATGAACATGTGCATATGGCTTAGTATTTCCATATAGATTCGTACTTTTGTATTTGATAGTTTCGCTTTTGCACATATAAACACTCTTAAGTGAAGCACCATGATGTAACCGCAATACCAAAATGAATCGCAAACAGTAGACGAGACTGAGAGAGAGAGAGAGAGATATTGAGAGGAAGATAGAGAGAGAGAGAGAGAGATTGAGAGGAGGATAGAGAGAAAGAAAGAGAGAGAGAAAGAAGGAGAGAGAGAAAGAAGGAGAGAGATTGAGAGAGAGAGAAAGAGAGATTGAGAGAAAGAGAGAGGGACTAAGAGAGATTTTGAGAGAGAGAGAGAGAAAGAGCGATTGAAAGAGAAAGAGAGAGGGACTAAGAGAGAGATTTTGAGAGAGAGAGAGAGAGAAAGAGCGATTGAGAGAGATTTTGAGAGAGAGAGAGAGAGAAAGAGCGATTGAAAGAGAAAGAGAGAGGGACTAAGAGAGAGATTTTGAGAGAGAGAGAGAGAGAAAGAGCGATTGGGAGAGAGAGAGAGAGAGAGAGAGATTGAGAGAAAGAGTGATTGGGAGAGAGAGAGAGAGAGAGATTGAGAGAAAGAGTGATTGGGAGAGAGTGAGAGAAAGAGTGATTGGGAGAGAGAGAGAGATAGGGAAAAAGAAAGAGAGAGTGAGTCAGATTGCAGATGGGTTATTTCGACTATATCCACGTCCGATGTACAATAATATATATTTGTTTACTTAATTTTGTTTTTTTTCATTGCACAGCCAGCTAGGCTAATAAAATGAAAGCTGTAAAAATAAATAAAAAATACAAATATGTTACCTGTTTCTTTACACCATACTGGGTCAACACATCAATGATAGCAATAAAATATATTTCTCGTCTTTCTACAATTTAAAACCAAAAATATTTGTATCTTGAAAATATTTATTAGCCATATCGTAATAGTTTATAATATTCAGATATTATGAACGCAAACACACACATATTAATTATCTTTCTTGGCTCCTCAAACAACGAGATCGACGCCCAGGAATTATATGTTATCAAAAGCGGAGATTTTTCTTTACAGCGGCAATTTTTTGTTCATAATTGGGATATGGGAGGAAAATAGATGACGCCTAGATTCTAAAACTACCATTCTTGTTTCTGGGGGATAGTTTCTGATTAATTTTATTCTGTAATTTGCATAACGAGTGTAAAATAACATCCAAATTGATGTTGTCAGACCGCTGAGTAAATAAGTTTGACGCTTTGTAACCGCTTAAGGGATTTTCGGCGGAGATTCTCCTCTAATTTGTGGTTTTGCGTCTTGATGTTTTTGAAACAAATAGAGGGGCCTACTGTTTACACTAAGCAGCCTCTGATTTTTTTTTCATGTCATAAATACACTCTGAAGGGTTAACATTCCCTGACGGGGGGCGACCGCAATTAAAAAATTTGACTTAATTTTTTATTTTAAATAAATTTATTATAACTTTTGGATGATGGTCGTACCAAGATTTGAATCCAGGTTTTTCGAATGGTAGTACGCAGTGCTAACCACTCGGTTTCATTTGAAGATTTGATTTGGTAATGGGTAGTTTAAAACTACTATAATGTAAATATTATCACCAGTATATATGTATTTTGTTTAGAAGTTACTAAAATTTCTAATTACACTCTTACCTATAGGGAACCTGCCTGCATTTTACTAATAAACACACGCACCTTCGTATAATAATCTATAAAATAACAAAATATATGCTGAAAAATAATATATTGTTACGATTTTACTAAATCAACCTCGATGATTTTCTGAATCCTTCGGGTACGATCTCTGGATTGTTAAATAAAAAGTCGCCAACTTAATTTGGAGTTTCTTTCATTATAAAGAATTAATCTAATGTCCTTTATTTTCTCAGTTAGTTTTCTCAGCAACAATATGAATTTTAGTATGTGAAAATATTGTAACTGTGATTCGCTTAAAAATACCTTTGTAAGTAGGCAGCCTTCGGCTTAGTTTAGAAGTATAATAATATATGTAAATGGGCCGTACCAACGCCAGCTTCCTCTTGCACAGTATATTTATGTGAAACAGTTTTATAAAAAGATGCTAAACAAACAACAAAATTAAGTTAACGAATTGCTATCGTCTCGTCTTGGCGCCATGTTATCAAAACGAAATGATATCGTTAACGTTTTAACCGTAGAAACTCATAATTAAAATTAAATTTTAAATGAGTGCTTGCTACGATTTAACAGTTCACTTTAATTTTATCGTTCCACATTATCTGTTTAGGATTTAACGTTAATGGTAGCTTTTCGTTTCGTGTAAAAGCAAAAAGAAATTTATTTCGATAACTGCTTTAATATTTCCACATGTTTAAACTGAAGCGATGCAAATTTGTGGATAACGGTACGTCGTTACGAAGAATCTTTGTTTTTATACAATTTTATTTTGTTTGCATATTTCTTATTATAATAAATTTTATAAATGATTGCTGATGAGGCTGCAGCCATTTGTTTTTGTAAAAAAATATGGCAACACACTTGCATTTATATTTTTGTGATGTCATACACACATACAATAGTTAAAGGAGGTCGTACATATTTACATGTCGTTCCCAAGGTAACTTATAGTTTTCGAGTAATTTGCTGTTAAAATTAAACTTCGAATAACCGAAATTTCCAAACTAAAGCTAATATAATAATACTGAAAATTTAAATATCGCTGATATTTATTTAATTACTTTTATCAAAACATAAATATTTTTCATCATTTTTATATAGAACCAGAAAACCTGTGCTGCCACACCTTTGAAGAGTAAGCATATTACTTTAATATCCCTTTTCAATTTACAAAGAAGTTTCATGAGAATAGTGTGCAAGGCGAAGGCTGTGTTGGTCCGAAGGCCGCTAATTTACAAGGGTGTTTCACTTAAGAATACTGTTCCAAGCGAAGTCGGTGTTCGTCCGGCCTAGGGTAATTTTTTTAAATCCTTAAAAAACTAAAAGTTCAAATAACAAATGAACAGACTGCTAACATGTTAGGCAACAGCGACTTGCCTTGCAATATATGAGCTTACTCTTACCGTATGGCAGCACTGTTTTTTCTGATTGTAGCGGACACTTATACGTCATTTTATTAATTAGAGTAAACAAACGTGAGAACGCATTTTTTATGTGTAAAATTGATGGAGAATATTAATATTATGAAGAAATTAGTTAAATAAAATCATTTTAAACGTTATTTGGCATTTCCATAAGCGACTTGACTTTAACAAAAAATTATTCGAAAACTCTAAGTTATCTCGGGGAATAATTGATATTTTTATGATGTGTATGACCTTCTCTAGCCCCCCAAGAGGAAATTTGTTTCCTAGCGAAGTTTCCCCAAAATAAAAATTTTTGTCGCACTTTCAAGAATCACAATAACATCTTTCGCTTCGATTAAGTTATAGAATTAATATGTACCAAATGCCACTTATTCAAAAATAAAACAAAATCAGACGGGTTGTATATTGTTGCGAAAATGCAAAATACGAACGACAGATGAAGAGTAATGGCGAATAACTAAACCACATTCTAGAGCGCGAGTATCGAACCTTAAGTATATCGTAAGAGCTACTCAGAGCTGTGTACCAGCAATCAGTGAGTTACATAAGAAAGCGGCCAACACAGCTTGTTGCAAAATGAACTCGTTGCCGACAACTTTGGTACAAAGTGAAAATAGTTGTGAGAGAGTGTCATATAGGTCGCCGTGTATAACAAAACAATTTTTTATTTCTTAAGTAATAAATAAACGTGTATTTAATCATTTGATCACTTTTATTTAACAATCCAGTGATCGAACCCGAGTGATTAGGGGAATCAAATCGGTGTATTAACAAAAATCCTTACGATTGATGACAAATGTGGGATTGTTCAATAAATCCCAAAGTATTGTAATTGGGGCCGCGGTAGCCGAAGGTTAGCATTGCGCACTGCTATTTGGAAGACTCCGCTTTAAATCCTAGCGTCCTACTAACATCCAAAAAGTTATGGAAAGTTAATTTAAATAAAAAATTAAGCTAAATTCTCTAAATCCGGTCGCCCTTCGGCAGGGAATGTCAACCACTCCGGGCGCATTTCTGACATGAAATAAAGCTCCTCATAAAAAACAAACCATCAACCGTTCGGAGGCAGCTGCCGCGGTTGTAAAGAGCCAATTATGTATATATATATATGTATGTGTATATATTTTAGTAATATATATAAATATAGTAATTGAAAATGGTAAAACTTCAGGGTTTGATGATACTTGCCATGGAAAAAAAATTGGCGCAGCGTGGATTATCTACCACCATAAATAAGGCAGAACTACGGTCTTGGCGGCGCAAAGCTGTGGATGTCGAAAGCCTTTCCGTCGTGGCGACGAGGAGGCATCCACGTAGGTTATAGAGATGGAGGAGGATATCGTTTTGTGAAGGATTTGGAGCAGCCATCAACAATGGTGATGGAATCATGCCATTGATACTGGTGACGCTAGGTCGATTCGTGAACCTCCTCGAAGTGTTCCACCAGCCAAATGTTAAGCTGTGAGTCAAATAATAAATATATGAGCGGCGTTATCGATCCATCAGGAAGTCCAAAAAGTTCTCCGGTGGTGCTTGTGAAAAAGAAAGATGGTCAGCTCCGGTTCCAAGTGAACTATAGGATGTTAAGTGATGTGACAAAGAAAAACAGCCATCCGCTGCCAAGGATTCATGCCAGTCTTGACTCGTTAACTGGCTCGGAATGCTTGTCAATACTCGACTAAAGAAAGCAAGCAGTTTGAACTTCATTCCACAACATAGTGCAATCAGAGAATACAGAACAAACCTCTTTTAAGTTAGAGTGCTCAGATGGCCTGAATACCCCCTGTGGATTACGGGATCAAGATTTTACCCGCGGTAAGGCATGCCGGTCGTAAGAGGCGACTCAAATCCATTAGTTTCCGTGACAGTCGGGTTCTTATACCGGAAGGACCCTGATTTTTATCCGGCCAAGGTCTGTCCATCCCGCATTATATTTGGTAATTTACCATGATACCGTTAGGATTATGCAACGCTCCTGCTATTTCAAAAGACTGATAGACTATATGCTCAAACGACTGATTTGAAAAACATGCTTGGTGTATCTAGACGACACATGGTGTCAGGCAAAAGCTTTGAGGAACAATTTGGAAGAAGTTTTTAGAGGATAGCGGGTGCTGGCCTAAAACTAAGTCCCAACAAAATCTCATTATTTAGAAAGGAGGTAAACGCCGTTCAGGAGACGACAAAGGGCGTTTGGGACTACATTAGCCAAGGCTTAGGAATTTGCATGAGCTACAGAATTTCCTTGGGCACTTACTATCGCCGTTTCGATCCTAATTTTGCCAACGTGAGTAGAGTTTTCGAGTGGCACAAAGAAAAAAGGAAGGAGTAGTTTGAATTGCAACACTATTCAAAAGCCGAAGGTAAGGATGTACGCTCTTATAGAAGATGGTACCTTCTCTATTCAGCTCTGCAGCTCGTATTATTTTTTCCGGCAATAAGTTAAAAAAGTCACGCCATAAAGAATGTCCGAAACCTTTGATATCGTCTCGGAGAGGTCCTTTCCGGTTCTGACAGAGCTTTTAGTGTTGCTCTGGATCAGTTTACACAGCCGTATAAGATTTGCGGGAATACCAAATTTAGATATAGTGGCGTAAAAGCTGGTCCTATTCGTGGTGTCGAAGGCTGCTTTAAATTCGACAAAGAGATAGTGGGTGTTGATCCTCTTTTCACGGGTCTTTTTAAAGATTTGGCGCATGGTGAATATCTGGTCAATTGTTGACTTACCAGGTATAAAGCCACACTGATAAGGTCCAATCAGTTTGTTGGCGGTGGGCTTTAGTCTTTTACGCAATACGCTGGACAGGACATTTTATGCGATGTTAAGAAGATTTATCCTACGATCATTGGCGCAGACTGTAGGGTCTCCCTTTTTGTGGATTGGGCTGAGCACACGTAAATTCCAATCATCTGGCATGCTTTCGTCCGACCATATTTTGCAAAGAAGCTGATGCTTGCACCTGATCAGTTCTTCACCCCCATACTTGAATAGCTTGACCCGTAATCCATCGGTCCCGCCACTTTGTTGTTTTTTAAGAGGGCGATTGCTATTCGGACTTTTTCATAGTCTGATGACGGAACGGGTGTTTCATTTTGACTGCCATTCAGCAGGCTGAAGAAGTGTCCATAAATTCAGTATACTTTGGGCATCCGTCACTAGTTCACCTCCCGGGGTCCTACATGAGTTTGCTCCGGTCTTGAAACCTTCCGTAAGTCGGCGTATTTTTTCGTAGAAGTTTAGAGCAATACCCTTGTCGGCCAGCTTCTCAAGCTCATCGTACTGACGCATTTCGTCTTGCTTCCATCTTTAGCTCTCGGTATTTACCCCAACCCGCTGGTGTTGTGATCGATCGCAAGCTTGCGGAGTAGGCAGTCTGTTATTTCCCCACCACGACACGGCATTCCTAATCGTACCAGCTGTTTTTGCAACCATTCCGAGATCCAATAGTTTCGTTTGCGGTTGTGTGTAGGGAGTTTGAAATGCTGTCCCACAGCTTGGCTATAATCGCGAAGGCAGTGCTAACGCCAATAAAGAAGAAGAAGCGTAGCGAGTAAGGACCCCAAGGGTTTTGGAATCCATACAAGATACATAGATTTTTATAAATACACAAAAGAATTGAATTTATATAGTATACACAACATAAAACAAACATAATAGCATACGTACATACTCGTATATCATTGAATTTTTTATATATATATTATATATGTACAATATATATATATATTATTGGCGCCTCCTTACGGGTGATAGTTTTTTATGAGGGGCTTTATTTTATGTCTCAAATTCACTCAGAGGGGTGGACATTAAGTATGAATATATGGTAACAAAAACACAAAAAACACAGATACTTTACACACAATCTGAATTTTATAAACATGATTAAAACATAAATTTATTAATAATTGCACATACATTAGTACACTGAGAGTAAAACTAACATACCCAGCGAACTTCACCTCGTCTTAATTATATGCCTTTGTATTACATTAGGTGTGATAATAAAGTATATGTAGATAATTCAAATCTGAATGTGAAATATTTGAATGAACTCGATCAGCAGACGAGGACAAACAACAAAGATGGTTTGTCAACACGCGCACTTGCGCAATTCTCATAGAATTACTTAAATTAAACTAAGCGATTTCAGATAGGAAAAAAAACAAAAAAAAGCCCATACGATCAATTGTCATAGCGCACGGATCCCGAATATGCACGAGCGTGCCTTCCAACAAAGCTTCTGCTTAAGTCAACGACTGATGCGGACCAGCCAATCATATCTGCTCGGCCCACTTCCGAAAATTTGTATATATTAATCCATACCATAGAGACATTTTTTTCGAATAGATCGGTACTAGGTACTATTCCTGGACACAAAAGTGATGTTCTTGCTAAACTAAAAGACTACTTATGTATCAAATTTCAAGAAAATCGAATGAGTAAGGATAATCAACGTCAAGCTATAATTGTTTAAAATTACATCACCATAATTTACTATGGGCCTATGGAAGTGGATAGCGGAGTTCCTTCAAAAGCCGGTGTATAACATTGAAGAGGAGAGTACAGAATGTAATGGAATGAATCTTTTCAGATTATACAATTTATATCCAGATAATATGTGAAAATCAACCGACTACAAATTCGTTGTGCTTTAAAAACAGCATTAATTTTGTTCAAGTACATACTGATAGTAATTTAAATTATAACGAAATAAAATAGAACTAAAAATGTTTTTTATAGTCATCAAAAATATATTATTTCAAATTTACAATAAACATTTATACATTTGAATATATGAAATTTGTTATAACTGAATTCAATGAATGCATATAAATTTTATTCCAAGTGCTTAGTATGGGCACAACCACCAACACCTTTATATTTATAAACAATTCCTAAAAGTTGTTTAAGAAATTTGTCTTCACGGATCCATTCAACATCACAGCTAATATCATTATTTTCTGTTGAAGTTGTAGAGCAGTTCAAATCATCATCAATCCACTGTTGAATTAAAAATTTTAATTTCTGCACTTCTGCCTTATTTTTAAAATTTACTTCAAATGAGGGGGCTTGTCCAATAGTAATTTTTCCAACACTTAATAACCTTTTAGTGTCTATAATCCCATTTACAGGAACAACTGATAGTGTTGGCTTACAAAGATCAATACACTTATTTATATTTTGAGTGTTAGCTTTTTGATAGGCGGTTTTTTGTATAGAACCTTCAGCTTGTATTGTCTTCACTTCAGTTGTACCTTGTAGCGGTTGAGTTGGTTCTTCTAATGTTGGAAGTTGCTTATTAAATGTTATATCTTCAAGGGATTGAGCGGTTTCTGTTGTTCCTTGTTGGGGTTGAGCGGTCATTTCTAAATTTTGAATTTCCTCATCGAATCTTTTTAGCATCTTATCGCATTCATCTTGATCGAACGCAACATTTGACATTTGTTGTTCACTATCAAAGTTCAAATAATTGTTAGAATCCATTGTTCCACGTTAATGTGTTTCCGTTAAATATGTTATTACAATTAGACTATTATAAAATAAAATTCATATTTATATCTTTTTGTTTCATTTTCTCGGAGCTGATTACAACCATCTAGGCTTCTTAAATATTACATATATTTATATTATAATTTTTTTTCAATGTTTTATATCGGGAATAAGGCGAAATACAATTACATGTATTTACTATTTCCGTGTTCAAGGTGTAATCAATTTTGTGAATATATGAATGGCTCCGTTAAACATGATCGGAATTCATTTATTGTAGAATAAAAAAATATTTGATGTTCATTATCAATTGATTCATTATATATTCTTAAAACTGTTCTAGATCTTTAGGGAAAGACATTTTCTTCTTTTTTTATTATACTAGTAGTGCAAAACTGCTGGTTTGCAAATTATAATATCCGCTGCGTAAAATAAATACCGATATACACACCATATATACATTTAAAAAGATAAGGCTACTTGTTTCCATCCTCTGCATGGTATAACAATAGAGCGTACAATAAATATCGTATAGTAGTACTTTATTATTGTAATACAAAAAAAGAAAATAAAGAAAAAAAAATTTATTTTACATTATTCAGTTCTTATTAAATAAAAATTTTAAACATAATTGCCCACATATTTTTGTTTCTGGTAATTAATGAGTTCTACCGGTGGTTGCAAATTTCCAAAACTAGCAATATATTCTTTATAGTTTTTGTTTTTATAGTATGCTACCCAATGAGTACCAGGACCATCAGCATCATCTAAATTAAGAATTCCACATTTTTCTGATATTAGGCTTATTCAGTAAAGAATTTCGCATAAAAATTCCCCAGAAATGTTTCAGATGTTTGCAATATTTCATTGAATGAACATCTGTTAATGGTCTTTTGGGTAGCTTTTTTATTAGTTTTTTGGATAGGGTCGTAACAATAAACCATATCATATTATATGCCTTAAGGAATAAACCTTTCCCCATAGCGATAGATTCCATACATCTATTATGGCGAGTAGCCTCAGCCAATTGCTTTTTCCATTCTTGATATCATTCAAAACTTTTGCTATAGCTGATCCACCAGATGCTATACCACCAAGTGCGCCAAACGCCATTAAAACAGGAAGGATTGGTAATATTCCAATATTTTTGGGACTGGAATTATTCTCGGTATGTTAATTTGTTTATTTTTAAAACTAGACTTTATAGCATCTTGTGAAATTTTTAAGGCTTCTGCGGCTTGTTAAGCGTATTGATGCATCTAAAGGATTTATACCTTTATCTCCTCTTCCTAACCGTTGTCTGAGTTTTGTTCCAGGACCACAAAATTGATATCCGGGTATAGGCAAAGAATTAATCAAAGTATTTACAAAACCCTGACCAATCTTTTTATGTATTAGACCCATTAGGTGATTTTTCTTTAATAATAATAATATGGTTGTGTGTGGGTGAGTAATATTTAAATGATGTCTTTATTATAAAAGTAATAGTTTATATTGCTGAAAGTCTTGTAAACAAAATGAAAGTAGTTAAGGAACGTCTTCATCTTAAGATTAATGAAAGTGTAGAAAATAAAATGAAAATAGTTAAGCAACGTCTTCAACTTAAGGTTGATAACGCAGACAATTATATAAATGTTAAAAATGTTACTAGGCATAGTCCACTTTTACCAAATTCCATCAACTCTCACGACAGCCGGTTCTACGCACCGGAGTTGACCCGGATTTTATCCGGCCAAGGGCTGTCACCCTTTCGGAGACCTAACCCCGTTTAGGTCTACAGGTAACCTTAGTCTAAGTACGTCAACGGAGCAACACCTCGCAGCTGGGTTGCTCCAAATCCTTCTGATCAGGGCTGGTGTTGAAACCAACCCTGGACCGACGGATTACTTCTGCTGCGTGTGTCAAAGAAGACTCCACCATTCATCCACCTCGGTTAGATGCACCCAGTGCAATGGCTGGAGTCATCTTAAGACCTGCTCAGGCCTTAAGACCCACAGGGAATGGACCGCAAGTTATGTGGCCCCATGCTGCCAGCGTCCAACCGCCCCCTCAGCCTCCACGGCAGTGCCTTCAGCACACATACCCACTCTGGGAAATCTGCAGACCTCCACGGTCCTACGGAGCTCCCCGCAGCATGATTCCCCCCAACCTCCACCCCCATCCCCACCCACAACCAGCTCCTCATCCTCCTCCCGTGCGAGGGCTACCCAGCAGCTCCTAGTCCCCCGCACTGTCTGTTCCGTGTGTCAGACCATAGTGCGTCGGAACGTGACCTCAGTCAGATGCAATTTNGCCTACCCTTAGATGACCTCGACGACTTAGACTAACTCAAGCCTGTGCCTAAGCGGGGTTAGCGAATCCGCTACAACAACAACAACAACAACCAAATTCCATACGAGCACTGATGGTAGGTCCATCAAATTGAGGAAAAACTAATGTTATGCTCAGTTTAATTGAAAGCCCCAACGGACTTAATTTTCAAAATATATACATTTATTCAATATCATTATATCAACCGAAATATATCTACCTAAAAAGGCTTATTGATCCGATAAAAGGAATAAATCTTTATACATTTAGTGAAAACGTTGATGTTATCAAGCCAAACCGAACTCAATTTTTATATTTGATGATGATGATGAATATGTGGAAAACGAAGTACAATACGAGATTATATTTGTATCGGTCGTCATAAAAATATTGATTCTTTTTATTTATGTCAAACTTATACAAAAATTCCTAAACACTTAATTCGTGATATTGCAAACATGATTATTGTATTCAAGCAAGATGAAATGAATCTTAAGCATATCTATAATGATCATGTTATTGCATATATGTTATAAAAAATATTTTTAAAAATTTGTGTTGAATCTTGGAAAAATAGATACGGCTTTGCTGTTATAAGTAAAGATGATACTATAAACATTGGTCGGTATCGAAAGGGTTTTGATAATTTCTTACAATTATAAAACATCCATACACATATATAGACCAGACCAGATTCTTATCAGATATACAACTGATAGGTAGCAGATTTTCAATCATCACTCGTTAAAGATCATGGTAAATAAACAGATAAGTGTTTTAGCAAATATTGCAAAGACTAGAAAAGTACTAAAAGAAAAAATTAAAAAAAATAAAATTGGGAGAATTGGATAGAATAAACTTGTTGGAGGATACATTTAAACCCATTTCAAAGCCATTAACTGAATTAGTTGATAATTTTAAAATCTTTAATAAATATAATGTCACCAATTTTAATAGTAATGATGAAATTTGGCCGGCGGACAGAGTACAAGAAAGTGAAGACATGAAACTTGATACATTACCCACCGTTAAAAATTATATGAATGCTATTGATCTTGATTTAGAATATTCTCCTGGTAGTTTTCGGAAACAAAATGTTAAGAAGCGAGATCTTGTTAATATCATGAATTAACAATGCTTTGATAAAAAACAAAAATTAGATAATGTTGTTAGCGTTAGACAAAAAAATAAATTTTGTGAATGACCCCGAAAGGCCAGAACCATATATTACTTGTAAACCAAACCAATTACTAAAAATGGCTGTAGAAAACCTAAGACAAGCTGAAACGTATAATGATAATACTTCTCCAACTGAAAATGATATTTTTAGAAGAATTGAACCCTGATCTATGGGAGAGACATAAATTTGTAAAACGACAGTCTAAAAATCAACTAAATGAAGATTTAAACGGGTTAAGCTTACTCACCCCCATTCACTATTACAAAACATAAAAATGCTTAAAGATCTTAAAATGCTTAATACATTGTATGGTCCGAATATGGACTCAAATAACGTCTAAAGATGTTATACAGATCGGAAGGGAAAAATGGAAAATGACGCCATTGAGCTAATATTTCATAAAAACCCACAACATTATAAAAAGTTTGATTTGAAGACCTATCGACAGATTTTACTAGATACAAGTGCCCACAAACGTAATTATAATCCAAATAACCAACTAAAGGCAACAAAATTATTTAAATATGCTTATATTATCAGAAAATTATTCAATTATAATCCACACTCGTCCAAGTGATAGAGGTTCATTGAAATCATTCGATAACCGAAAAAATATTTATCAATATTGGGATAACCCTCATGAGTTGGTGGATAGATTGAGACTGCTTATATCATCAACAAGTTCCGGTCATAACAACCATCAAAACGAGATTATATCAATTATTGAAGAGTTGCGAGAAGCAAATATTATTAAATAATATGAGTATAAATAAATTTGGTCATTCACCATATGATAATAGTAGGTCAAAAGTGAATCTAGACCGAAACATAAATCTTAATCTGAACAAGAAAAGAATAATTAACTTAGCTGCTCCTATAGAAGATAGTGATGCCATTTCGAAAGTATTTTCTTAGAAACGTTAAATAAGATGAAAAACAAATTAAAACTACAAATCAATGAAATAAATGTAATTCTGAATATTAGTGTTAAAAATGATTTAACAATTCTTGAGGATCTAATGGACCAACGAATAAAAGGTGCATGTGGGGAAGAATTACATAATATAAATAACTATTTAACAACTATTGAGGACTATTTATTGCGTTTCGTTGTGGCGAAACAACAACCTACTGACAAAGTTAGAAAAAAATTTAATCGATGATTTATGGCAAGTTGACTTGGTGATAATGACTCAGTATTCAAACGGCGGAACAAGTTAAGATAAAACTAAAGAAAATGTAACAAATACAATGGTTAAGATTTTCAACTCAAGTAACCGAATACCAAAAAACCTACAAACAGATGATGGAACGGAATTTTATAATACTAATTTTAAAAGATTATTACAAACAAAAAATATCAACCATTATTCAACATTTTCATCCTTAAAGGCATCTATAATAGAGCGATTCAATAGAACATTAAAAGGAATGATGTGAAAAGAGTTTTGTTTTCGGGGAACTCATAAATGGATTGATATCTATAAAAATTTAATCAATGATTATAATTATGCTATTCACAGCACCATTAGAATGACTCCAAATGATGTAAATTCCTCGTATGAACAACATTTATTAGACACCGTATACAGCAATTTAAAAGTTTTTCATAGACCAAAATTTAATATATAATAAATGATGAGGTTAGAATATGTAAATAGTACCGATTTTAAAGTAAATTGAAGCAATAAGACAAGAAAATAGAGCCATAAGTAAGATTTTTTCAAAAAAAATAGTCCCAGGTCGTCTCCCCAATTTAAAAAATATATAACAACCTTCACGCAGACTTAACGAATATGCATACAAGATTTCATCAAAACCGGTCAAGCCATTTCGGAGAAGCATGTCCTAGTACACTGTGTTAGCAGATTTCTATATATTAGATAACATTTTGCCTGCGCGCAGAATAATATAAAAGACGAGGAAGGCTCAAAGGAAATTAAGTAGCCCGAATGCAGGCCATAGGTATACTTGCTCGTGGGATCAACACCACCGGCAAATGTAGTGTCATTGAGGGTTTTCACCTCACGAGCACTTATTTATATTCCACTGAGGAATTCACCCCACTGGATAGGGACCTGGTGAGGGCTTCAACCTCCACAGTCCATACAAGAAATAATAATTGTTGCAGAAAACATTAGAGATTTTATATATATATTTTTACTACTATTTACAGGCTGTAGGAATCTACTTTAACATTTTCAACTCACAATTTTCAATTTTTTAATTTATATGTTACTGATTTTTAAATAATATTAAAATATTCAATCTATTAAGTTGAACGCAGAGCTCAGTAAAATTATTTGAATGTAGATTGAACAAAATTCGATAAGCAGGATCGCCAATTATAAAGAGAACGGTTTATGAATGAATCTCTATATATATAAATGTAAACACAAGTAAATTGTAAATATTTACTTTTTTTTTAATTATATTTGATCTTATTTATTTGAAATCAAAAACTATAATGAATCAGAAAAATGAAAATATTTGACAACTTTATCAAAATATTTTTCTATAAAACAAGAAAACATTCGGGTTTCCAAAAAATGTTCAATCCGGAATAACACCAACTTTTGTGCACCGATTTCTATTGAAATTTATATATTTCATTTGGATGCAATTTTGAAATTTAATTGAAGAAACTAACTTCTATCAACATCCAGAATATCAACAATCAACAATATTATTTAGCAGATCAGTATCAGGTTTTTATTATTTGTAACAAATTATAACAAATCGATTTAAATAATTAATTTAAATCTAATAATTTTTTTGAAGTTATTCTAAACTCTTTCTCCAAAACATGCATAGATCACCCATACGCACACGCAATTTTACAACAGCAGAAACACAAAATGAAATCACGAACTCTAATACAGATTTAAATACAATACAATATTTCACTCAAGATATTCATATACATAATTTTAGACCGAATTCCAATTATATTAAATTACCTCCGTTTTGGAATGAATATCCTGAAGCATGGTTTTTGCTTGTTGAAGGACAATTTGAAATTAATAATATTTATAATTATAACATTGAATTTCAAAATGTTTTAATTGCTCTTCAACGAGAAACTATTTTCAAAATTATCGATGTTATTAATCCACCTCCGTTTTCGAATAATTATGAAACTATTAAGAAAGTTCTTTGTGAGAGATTTTGTCTAAGTGAAGAAAAGAGATTGGAACAATTAGATATATGAAATTGTTAACTGGTTCAGATTCAATTGTTAGTCATGAATAACTTTTT